ATGATACGTTATGAAGCCCTGAAGTATGATACGTTATGAAGCCCTGAACTATGATACGTTATGAAGCCCTGAAGTATGATACGTTATGAAGCCCTGAACTATGATACGTTATGAAGCCTGAACTATGATACGTTATTAAGCCCTGAACTATGATACGTTATGCCTGAACTATGATACGTTATGAAGCCCTGAAGTATGATACGTTATGAAGCCCTGAAGTATGATACGTTATGAAGACCCTGAACTATGATACGTTATGAAGCCCTGAACTATGATACGTTATGAAGCCCTGAACTATGATACGTTATGAAGCCCTGAAGTATGATACGTTATGAAGCCCTGAACTATGATACGTTATGAAGCCCTGAAGTATAATTTACACACACAAATATTGCAATAATACTTTGGTGAGAGTTAACTTTATCAAAGGGTTTATTTATATCCATCAATCAAGGAAAGAATTTGTCGTCGTCTGGTTAATATATTTTAAAACGAAAATTATTGCCGCTACGGATGTATTTGTAAGCGTTGGATGACCAAAGAAATAGACGAATTCTGTCTTTTTGAAATTGATGGTGCCAGCGCTTATATTAGTATTTAATTCTGTAGTGAAGTATTTGGTGTTCATTGGTGTAGATAATATTACAGGTGTTGAATGAGGTGTGGCGTCCAGGTGAGATTAAGGAAGTTATTTAAGAATGATGGTATTAGCCCGTACAGTGTGTGTGTGTGTGTGTGGTGTGTGTGTGTGTGTGTGTGTGTGTGTGTGTGTGTGTCTAAAGAAGAGATGGTGAGAGCAGTTATCACCATTCCCCTCCGATGGTGCAATTCTTCAATAAGTGACCAACCTCATCACCTTTGAACCTCTGATAATTTTTCCATTATCCATTCTAGAGTTTACCTGTTGACATACACACAAACAAACAAACAAACACACAGACGTAGCTGATGCCTTACTTTCCGATGTGTTTTTGTCCGCGTGGTTAATATCGATAACACACACACACACACACACACACACACACACACACACACACACCCACACACACACACACACACACACACACACACACACACACACACACCACACACACACACACACACACACCCACACACACACACACACACACACACACACACACACACACACACACACACACACACACCCACACACACACACACACACACACACACCCACACACACACACACACACACACACACACACACACACACACCACCACACACCACACACACACACACACACACACACACACACACACACACACACACACACACACACACACACACACACACACACACACACACACACACACACAGGTAAAAGGTTGAGGTGTGATCATTAACATAAGTTTTTCAGTATGAGTAAGAGGAAGAAAGTGTTGACATTCACCTCTTAGCTCCCTCCCTCTTTATTATTTTATGCCTCTTAAGTATTACTGTCTCGCAGGTGTGTGGGTTGTGTGCAGTGACTGTGTGGGTTGTGTATGTGGGTTGTGTACAGTAGGTTGTTGTACGAGTGACTGTGTGGGTTGTGTACAGTGACTTGTGTGGGTTGTGTACGTGTCTGTGTGGGTGTGTACGTGTGCTGTGTGGGTTGTGTACATGTGAGTGTGTGGGCTGTGCATTTATCAAAATGTCTTGTGCACTTCTCAGGCTGTGTGTTGTTGTGGTTTGTCACGGTGTGTGTTCTGCACCTGTCATGGTGTGTGTTGTGCACTTGTTATGGTGTGTGTTGTGCACCTGTCATGGTGTGTGTTGTGCACTTGTTATGGCTTGTGTTGTGCACCTGTCATGGTGTGTGTGTTGTCACCTGTCATGGTGTGTGTTGTGCACCTGTCATGGTGTGTGTGTTGTGCACCTGTCATGTGTGTGTGTTGTGCACCTGTCATGGTGTGTGTGTTGTGCACCTGTCGTATTGTGTGTGTTGTGCACCTGTCATGGTGTGTGTTGTGCACCTGTCATGGTGTGTGTGTTGTGCACCTGTCATGGTGTGTGTGTTGTGCACCTGTCATGGTGTGTGTGTGTTGTGCACCTGTCATGGGTGTGTGTGTTGTGCACCTGTCATGGTGTGTGTGTGTTGTGCACCTGTCATGGTGTGTGTGTGTGCACCTGTCATGGTGTGTGTGTTGTGCACCTGTCATGGTGTGTGTGTTGTGCACCTGTCATGGTGTGTGTGTGTTGTGCACCTGTCATGGTGTGTGTGTTGTGCACCTGTCATGGTGTGTGTGTGTGCACTGTCATGGTGTGTGTGTTGTGCACCTGTCATGGTGTGTGTGTTGTGCACCTGTCATGGTGTGTGTGTTGTGCACTTGTCATGTGTTAATATTCTTAAATGGGGTTTTGTGTTACTGAGTCTTAATGTGATGATGGTAATGGTGTTAATTATAGTGGTGATAGTGGTGGTGTTGGTAGTGGTGGTGGTAACGATGGTGATACTGATGGTGATAATGATGGTGGTGATGGTGGTTAGTGATTTTCCTTGTGGTGTTGATAATGGAGTTGTGGGTAATGGTAATAGATCTTGGGGGGCCCGGCATTCCCAGTCCACCCAGCTGTAAATGTGTACCTAACTCTAGTGTTGTGGGAGTGAAGGCGATTGTGTGCAGTATACTGTAGGTCACGCTGCCTCATTGTGTGTACCCAAGAATTATTATATTGTGTTTTATGTCTTTGGATAATTTTAATTTTAATAGAGAATGACGATGTTTGTATTTATTTATTTATTTATTTATTTATTTATTTATTTATTTATTTATTTATTTATTTATTCATTTATTTATTTGTTTGTTTCTTTGTTTTTGTGAGTTTTTGTTTGTTGGGATTTATTTATTTATTTATTTATTTATTTATTATGACCAAAATAGTCTGGATAATGAAAAGAGCTAGATCATGTTAACCTTCCAGTCAATAACACGAGATAGACACTTCAAGGTGATGGTGACTGTGAACCTCCAGTCATTGTGGTACTAACTGTATTTAGACAACACAACAACAACAACAACAAAAATAAACAACAACAGCTGCCCAATTAGAGAGTTTAGTACCTGCCCAATGTGGTTCTAGGTAACAATGTAACTATAGCTTTACCTGGTTATTAATTCCCCTTAATTAGTATCAACATATAACACCTGGGGTAGACGTAACCTGTATACTTATAAACAAAATAAGAATAGAACTGTAGACATGATATCGTACTAGACATAAAAAGACATCTATTTTTTCCTTATTTCTTTTATTCGTTGTGGAATTATTTTATTAATTATTTATTTTTATTAATTGTTTATTGGATATTTATTTATTCCTTAATTTTTGTATCCATTATTTATTTTGTGTGTATTTTATTTTATTATTTATTTTTAGTTATTTATTTGATTATTATTTTCCTTTATTTTATGTTTTTCCATTCTACATTCCATTTTTTTTCATATTTATCAATTTATCATTTACTTCTCAGCATCTAGTTGTTATTATTATTATTATTATTATTATTATTATTATTATTATTATTATTATTATTATTATTATTATTATTATTATTATTATTATTATTATTATTATTATTATTATTATTTTCTTTTATCAATTTTTATTATTGTTTTCCTTTTTTTTATTTGTCGTTTACTCTTAACGTTTATCTATTCATTTGTCTTTGTTATTCATTTATGTAATTCATCTTAATATTTAGTCTTTATTCAGTCATGATATATATTTGTATTTATCATTCCTTATTCATATTACGACTTGGAGAAAGTTAGACAATTATCGGTATATATGGAGAAATTGTCCGGAATAACGAGAGATAAATGTCATTATTCTGGATTATCAGGACAGAGAGATACGGATAATTCGGAATGCCAGCTGGAGGAGATGCTTATATAAATGTTGATTTATTTACTACATATGAAAGTCTTCCTGTCATCAGTACTTTGTCCATATTTTTATTGAGAAAGTTTGCGAAGTTTGTAAATCATTGAAATGTTTGTAAATGATTGAAAGGTTTGTAAATTATCTAAAAAAAATATTTGATTAGATTTGAAAGAATTTTGTAAATTGAATTACTGAGAATTGCTGATTATTGAGTTGTTTGTAAATAATATAATAGTTTGTAAACTATCAAGTAGTTTATAGTTTGATTTGTTTTGTAAATTACTTGGAAATTTGTAAGTCATTGTGAAGTTTGTAAATTATTAAGAAATTTATAAGGCTCTGAGAAGGTTATCCATTATTAAGACATGGGAAAAAATAAAGCTTTTCTTGTTATAAGACAGAAGTTCAGGGTCACCCCAGCCACTGTCACCTGCTGTGGGACGCCCAGTCTAACACCTTGACACCTGTGACCTGAGGATGACCTCTCGACTTCGCAACAGGTCAGGTGCTGGAGGTCGAGGGGGCAGCAGATACCCAATGCCAACCAAAGGAGTGGTGATAACAGCGTGATACTGTAAGGTGATCATGCTTTAATCTCTCTCTCTCTCTCCTCTCACTCTCTATCATACACACTCCAGCCTCCCTCCTCCTCCTCCTCCTGCCTCCTCTTCTTCCTCCTCCTTTCCTCCTCCTCCTCCTCTCCGTGTTGGCTGCTCACATACACACTGGCGGATCACTCAAGTCCATTGGCTAGTGGCTGTTGGAAGGTATTAATTATCAAGTATCAACAATTTGGGCTCGGGTAGAAGTCACGATATGGTATGGTAGTATGAGGGGCAAGGAGCGCGGGCCTGGTTGCCGGGTCACTGTATTCAACAACTTTGCTAAGAGGTCAAGACTGAGGTTATTTGATCTTCTGGAGTAGTGAGCAGTATATTAACTAAGGATAAATGATGTTGGAAATAATGATAAGTGATCATACGTTGCGGGGGAAGTGGAATTGAAGCGTCTTGGAGAGCGTCTTGGTTAGGCTCCCGCACCCCTGCGTTGCTCGCTTCCCGGCTCTGGAGTACTCGAGGTGTCGGCCAGTCAGTCAGAGTTGTGAGCTTGTCGGGCGAGTGTCTGTGCCGGCCGTGTGCAGTGATATAAAGTGCAAAACGGAATTAAAAGTGGATTTACATGCATAAATTGTGATATGTGTGGATTTCTGGATTATTTCCTGCTGCACCCATGGATGGATTGTTGTTGTTGAGGTAAGAATACCGGAGTGTTTTGATGTTTTACCTGTAGTTAGGTGGAGATGAATAATTACTGGGTTGGCTGTGATGCACCTGAGCACTCGGCTCATCTCACATACCCACTCCACAAATTCCAAAGTGGGTGACACCGTGGGTGGGGGGGCGGGCGTGGCCAGCAACAACCTAGAGAGGCAGTAGAAGATGGGGGAGAGAGAGAGGGGATGTGTTACAAGGTGTGTTTGTGTGAGTGAGTGTTGCGAGAGTCCGGCATCTTGCCCAGCGCTCGCTCTGGTCGCTGCCCCACGGGGCATGGACCAGGCCCACACATTTTGGCACTCGGATATTTCAGCGGCGTCGGTATTAACCCCAGTGATGTTGACGTCAAGGGTTGATGTGGGTACAGAGGAGGGCAGTGAGAGTCATCAGAGGGAGGCAGACCCCCGCGCGCCGCCGTCTCTCACCGCCTGGAGATTTAAACGCTAATATAAGACCCATCCAAATGGCGGGCCCCGACCAGGTACAATTAAGCGGTATCGGAGTGGAGCAAAAATAATGATAGCTAGGAAGCAGCACCGCTCTACCAGCAGCATATGGCAGCCAAGCCCTCCTAGCCCTGGACACCACGTCCACCTAGCCAGGATAGGTAGCTAGGACCCACCAAACCTAGTGCCTAGCTGGGGCCCGGGGCCCAGCTGACCGTCCTCCAACCCCCGCCCCGTCCAGCCCAGCCACCTGCACCACCACCTCCATCTACACCCTCTGTCTACTACCATCAACACCTACTATCTACTACCAACTACACCCTCTGTCTACTACCATCAACACCTACTGTCTACTACCATCTACACCCCTCTACTACCAACTACACCCACTGTCTACCATCTACACCCTCTGTCTACTACCATCAACACCTACTGTCTACTACCAACTACACCCTCTGTCTACTACCATCAACACCTACTGTCTACTACCATCTACACCCACTCTACCACCATCTACACCCTCTGTCTACTACCATCAACACCCACTGTCTACTACCATCAACACCTACTGTCTACTACCATCTACACCCACTCTACCACCATCTACACCCTCTGTCTACTACCATCAACACCCACTGTCTACTACCATCTACACTGCACATCTCACCCACTGTCTACCAACTACCCACTGTCTACATCAACACCTACTGTCTACCATCAACACCTACTGTCTGCTACCAACTACACCCTCTGTCTACTACCATCAACACCTACTGTCACCACTACCATCTACACCCACTGTCTGCTACCAACTTCACCCCACTGTCTACCATCTACACCCCTGTCTTTCTGCTTCACCCACTGTCTGCTACCATCAGCACCCACCTACTGTCTCACTACCATCTACACCCACCTGTCTTCTACCATCTACACCCACTGTCTACCACCATCTACACCCTCTGTCTCCCTACCATCTACACCCTGTCTACTACCATCTACTTTTTGTCTCTACTACCATCTACACCCCTGTCTACACCATCTACACCCACACTGTCTACTACCATCTACACCCTGTCTACCACCACCCCACTGTCTACCATCTACACCCACCTGTCTACTACCATCTACACCCACTGTCTCTACCATCTTCACCCACCTGTCTACCACCATCTACACCCACTGTCTACTACCATCTACACCCTCTGTCTACTACCAACTACACCTACTGTCTACTACCAACTACACCCACTGTCTACTACCATCTACACCCACTGTCTACCAACTACACCCACTGTCTACCTCCATCTACACCCACTGTCTACCTACCATCTACACCCCACTGTCTACTACCATCTACACCCCTGTCTCTATCTACACCCACTCTACTACCATCTACACCCCTGTCTACTACCATCTACACCCTGTCTACCATCTACACCCTCTGTCTACTACCATCTACACCCCACTGTCTACCACCACCTACACCCCTCTGTCTCTACCATCTACACCTGTCTCTACCACCATCTACACCCCACTGTCTACTACCATCTACACCACTGTCTACCCATCTACACCCACACTGTCTACCCATCTACACCCTGTCTGCTACCATCTACACCTGTCTACTACCAGCACACCACCTGTCTGCTACCATCTACACCCACTCTCTACCATCTACACCCTGTCTACCACCATCTCACCCTCTGTCTACCATCTACACCCACTGTCTACCATCTACACCCTGTCTACCATCTACACCCACTGTCTACCTACATCTACACCCCTGTCTACTACCATCTACACCCCTGTCTACTACCATCTACACCTGTCTACCACCACCTACACCCACTGTCTACTACCATCTACACCCCTGTCTACCACCACCTACACCTCTGTCTACTACATCTACACCCACTGTCTACCCACCATCTACACCCCTGTCTACTACCATCTACACCCCACTGTCTACCACCATCTACACCCCACTGTCTACTACCATCTCACCCACTATCTACCACCATCTCACCCCTGTCTCTACCTACACCCTCTGTCTGCTACATCTACACCCACTGTCCTGCCATCTACACCCCACTGTCTCCCCATCCTACACCCACTGTCTCTACCATCTACACCCCACTTTTGTCTACTACCATCTACACCCACTGTCTACCACCACCTACACCCCTGTCTACCTACACCCTGTCTACTACCATCTACACCCTGTCTACTACCATCTACACCCACTGTCTACCCACCACCTACACCCACTGCTCCTGCTACCATCTACACCCCACATACCACCACCTACACCCTCTGTCTGCTACCATCTACACCCACTGTCTACCTACATCTACACCCCACTGTCTACTACCATCTACACCCACTATCTACTACCATCTACACCCACTGTCTACCACCACCTACACCCACTGTCTACTATCTACACCCTGTCTCTACCATCTACACTTGCATCTACCATCACACACCTCTACCATCTACACCCTGTCTACCCACCACCTACACCCTCTGTCTACTACCATCTCACCTCTGTCTACCACCATCTACACCCCTGTCTACATCTACACCCTCTGTCTGCACCATCTACACCCCACACTGTCTACTACCATCTACACCCACTGTCTACCACCATCTACACCCACTGTCTACTACCATCTACACCCACTGTCTACCACCACCTACACCCTCTGTCTACTACCATCTACACCCACTGTCTACTACCATCTACACCCACTGTCTACCACCATCTACACCCACTGTCTACTACCATCTACACCCACTGTCTACCACCATCTACACCCACTGTCTACTACCATCTACACCCACTGTCTACCACCACCTACACCCACTGTCTACTACCATCTACACCCACTGTCTACCACCTACACTCACTGTCTACCACTCTTCACCCACTGTGTAACTCACATACACACAAAATATAGGAACACACACACACACACACACACACACACACACACACACACACACGTATATATTGTTTCATTGTAGTTGTTTTAATAAGACAATTTTGGTCGATTCTGTTGTTTGAATAATGAAGAATAACAACAATTGAAAGAAAGAAAAGTAAATATACACTGAAATAAGACAGTTTATAGTGAATGAAATGAATGAGAAGAGTTCAATCTTGAAAGAAGTTTAAATACGTAATTGTGAGTGAAATGAATAATAAGAAGTCACGATTATTGAAAGAAATTTGAAAATATAGATTGTGAAAAAGTAAGTAGTAGTGAATGAAAGAAATCCATGAAAGAAGACTTAAAACGTAAGCACGTGAATGAAATCAACGACGAAACTGATCGACTGAAAGAAATGATAGAAATGTTGATTGAAAAAAAAATGGCATGTATCGTGAATGAATGAAATGAACAAGTGTCACTCATTGAAAGAAATGTAAATAGAGACACCCTCCGTGAATAAAGTGAAGCAAATATTTTAATTAGTGAGTGAAGTTAAGTGTAGACTGAAAGAAGCAGACTGAATTGAATGAAATCAGCGTCCATAGTGAGAAATTCGACCAAATTAGCAAATGCACGAATGAAATGTATTTATTTCACGAAAGAAAAAAAACTAAGCTAAACAGGACAAGTATAGTGAATGAAATGAATACGAAAGAAGAAAAAACTCCCAGAAAAATATGAACAATGAAGGCAGTAGAATATCTCGGTGAATCCATAAATGAATGAAATACATTGAATGCAGTATGATATACACTGAAGGAAATACAAGAATGAAAAAAAATTAATACAACAGATACGGTTAAGATTTCAATCCAGAAAAATCCCCATTGAAGAATTCCAAATCGAAGGAAATGAATGAAATTAAAAAAAAAATCTGCATTCAATGAAAAAAATAAATAAAAATAAATGAAAAACTAGAAATTATGGTTAAAAAATCCATTGATAAATTAATTGAACGATGGTTGGACAAGAACGGCGGGCGGAAACGACGAATGAAAGGAGGAAGAGGAAATAGCGTTAATAATGTACAATAAAATGTAAAATAGTAGATTGATAATTAACGAGGTTGTTTAATGGAAATAAGAAAAAAAAGCGAATAAATTTAATAACGAACAATTAATGAATAACAATAACAACAGGATTGAAATAACGGAAGCTAAATGAATATGGAACAGAAATAACGCGACTGAAGTACAAAATAACAGGAGTGTAACACAAGCAACATACCACAAGTGTATAGCAATAATAACAAATAACACGCGTCTAGTATAACATAACACAAATAACAAAAATAACATACATAAGACGTGCATAACATAAGAATAACGCTTATAACAATAGTATTTCTCATAACAGGTGTACTGCATAACGTAATAACGCTTACAACATAATAACACACGCATAACATTTTCACAGCATTACCATAACCATTTCCAGGTGTTGAGGAAAATATTGATTTATTTACCAAGGAAAGAAGCGGAAATTATTAAAAAAAAAGAAGAAATTCTCTGCACTTGTTATTGTGTGAACAGCAGCA